AGAAAAAGATGGTGAAATAAAAGAAGTATTGTAGGTATACCAGTGGTGTGTGTGTGTGTGTGTGTGTGTGTGTGTGTGTGTGTGTGTGTGTGTGTGTGTGTGGTGACAGCAGCTGCGGGCACCAACACCAACCTCCAGCTGAGACTCACACCAGAGATGAACAGCTGATTGGCTATCCTACTCTCCTCCCTCACACCCACCCCTACCCAGTGAGCGAGAAGGGGGACACTCACGCTGCCCATTTTGTGTTTTTTATTTTCACGTCCGTTACGCAAATATTATCACCATCATCATTATTGTCCATCATATCATCATCCTAGCCTTTGTTTAACGATCATAGCATCAGATTAGCGATGAAGAGTTAAACGTGAGACATTAAGTTTTTAGTACGATAGTTTGGAGCCATATATCCAGATCTGGCGTGAAAATAATACAAAATGTGGCGGTTGTGATGACATAGAAGTGATGTTGACGGCAAGTGTGGAGGAGGAGGCAGCGGGAGTCTGGTGAGTATATTGTTATGTGAATATTCATGAGGGAGTTGGTGACCACGGCTATTTATCACTTGAGCAGCGGCTCGTGTATAGCTTCACCCGCCATTGGTCGAGTGGGGGAGCGTCACTCTGATTGGCTGAGAGCGAAAAATACCTGGGCCCGTGCAAGCGTTCGTGTCAGCATACTCTACTCACCTGGCTACCATCTTGCTCACCTAAGACAAGAATCTTCCCGTTCATTAAAAAAATATATATATTTAATTCTTTTCCTGTAGATATAATTTTATCCTTGGCTTAATTAATTACCTAAAGAAATCAAAGTTTCCCCATTTCCATTTTCTGACACAGTTTGTTGACTTCGGTGGAAATTGTAATTATTTATGTTTATTGAATTACAGGTATTTAATTCTGTTTTTATGATTAAATATGATGAAAAACTTTAAAATTTATCGTTTCTTCCCTATTTGGACCTTTTCTTCACCCATGGATCTCACAGCCGTCATCAACCCATGAGACAGATAGTACTGGGTCTCACAGCTGCCAGGAGTACTGAGAGATATTTCTCATCACAACTTAACATCAACATTTCACTCGTCATTGTTTTTCTTTCTGTGTAAAAATCAAGAAACAAGAAAAGGTTGATTTTCTTGTTCTCGAATCAAGGAAAATACCTGGACAGAACCTTCGACGCATCTTATTAATTACTAACCTTTCCTTCGCTGGATCACCTGAAGATTAGACAACCACTTCACAGCTTATGTGGGGGGGGTTAGGAGGGGTACAGTAGGTTGAGTGTTGGTTGGTAAGATTAGGGTGTGTTTTGAGTTTCTTAAGTCGCATATTATTATTATTATTATTACTATTATTATTATTCACTCAGTCAGTCAGCACATTATTAAATAAATTAGTCGAGAAATAGAAATATACTCAAAGGTGTCGTGTGTGTGTGTGTGTGTGTGTGTGTGTGTGTAGTGGTGACAACTTGCAGACGAGTACCGCGTTCAGCCTCCTCCACCCCCAGCAAGACGATCATTTTGGACTCTGTACCCACTGGCCTCCCTTCCTCCCTCCCTCCCTCCGTTTCCTCCATTACCTTACCTTCCATTCCTTCCCTTCCTCCTCCCTCCTTATCATATACCCTCCTTAACACTCTCCTTTTGTAACTTCCCTTCCTCCTTTTCCCTCCTCCTCCCTCCCTTCCTTCCTCCTTTATTCCCTCCCTCCCCTCCTTCCCTCCCTCCCTCCCCTACCTACCTTCCCTCTTTCCCCCAACATTTCCCAGGATTGATACCCACCACTAATCCTTGCTCTACCCAGCACGCACAGACACACACACACACACACACACACACACACACACACACAGATAGATACACAGACACTCACACACTCACACACACACACACACACACACAGACACACACACACACACACTCACACACACACACAAGGGATATACACACACAACAAAAATTTTATTGTAATATAGAGCCACAGTTCTCACATACACAAACTGTCCAAGAATTATGTTATATTTAATCTTTTTCTAAAACATTACAATACACAACATTATATGAGGATTCTTTGACATATGTTCCATCATTTGTGTTTAGTGAAATGTTTGGAAATATTTATACACACAGGTTTTTATAAATACATGTAAAATAGTGATGCAGGAATACATACAGTGATAAACATTTCAAAACGGACAATAGAATATAAAAATAAACACTTGTAAACATTAAAAGACAATAATAATTTAGAAGCATAAGCACAGTGATAAACAGTGCTATTCACAAACACACACACACACAGCCAGACACACACACACACACAGCCAGACACACACACACACACACACACACACACAGAGTAATGCTATAGTAAACATTTATATTATAATTAACTGTCAAAATTATTATGCCTCAAATGGCTGTACAGGTAATATATGTAACAATAATAATTAACAGTTTAAATCCCAGCCACCAGCCTTCCTACCTCCAGTACCTACCACCCCTACCACCACTTCCTACCAGTCCTACCACCACTACCTACCACCCTACCCACCACTACCTGCAGTCCCTACACCACCACTACCACCACCCTACCACCACCCTACCACCACCCCTACCTGCCAGTCCTACCACCTACCTACCATCCCTACCACCACTACCTACCAGTCCTACACCACCACCTACCACTACCACCACCACCTACCAGTCCTACCACTACCACCCCTACCCACCAGTCCTACACCACACACCTACCACCCACCACTACAGTCCTACCACCACTACCACCTACACACCTACCTAGTCCTACCTACCTACCAGTCCTACCACCACACCTACCAGTCCTATCACCTCCTACCCACCCATTACCACCACTACCTACCAGTCCTACCACCACTACCTACCACCTACCTACCACCCCTACCACCACTACCTACCACCCCTACCACCACTACCACCCACCAGTACCTACCCCTACCACCACACTACCACTACCAGTCCTACCACTACCTACCACCCCTACCACCACTACCTGCAGTCCTACCACCAGTACCTACCACCCCTACCACCACCACCTACCATCCCTACCACCACCTACCACCCCTACCACCACTACCACCCCTACCCACCTACCTACAGTCCCTACCACCACCACCACCCCTACCCACCCACCCCTACCTACCCAGTCCTTCCCACCACACCTACAGTCCTACCACCACTACCTACCAGTCCTACCACCACCACCTACCACCACCCCTACCTACCAGTCCCTACCACCACCACTACACCCTACCACCCTATCTACCAGTCCTACCACCACTACTACCAGTCCCTACCACCACCCACCTACCACCCCTACCACCCCTACCTACCAGTCCCACCACCACTACCACCAGGTCCACCACCTCTCCCTACCAGTCCCTACCACCACCTACCACCACTACCTACAGTCCCCCCAGCTACCATTACCCCCTTCCTCCCCTACCAGTCCCCCCACTTACCCCCCCCCTCCTACCAGTTCCCCAGCTACATTACCCCCTTCCTCTACCAGTCCCCCCAGCTTCCTGCATTCCCTCCCCATCTACCAGTCCCCCAGCTCATTCCCCCTTCCCTCCCTACCAGTCCCCCCAGCTACCATTACCCCCCTTCATCCCCCATACCTACCTCCAGTCCCCCAGCTACCATTCCCTTCCTCCCTACCAGTCCCCCAGCTACCATTACCCTCCTTCCCTCCCTCAGTCCCCCAGCTACCATTACCCCCCTTCCTCTACTAGTCCCCCAGCTACCATTACCCCCCTTCCTCCCTACCAGTCCCCCCCAGCTTCTCCTTCCCCCTTCCCTCTACCAGTTCCCCCTTCCATTACCCCCTTCCCTACCAGTCCCCCCAGCTCACCATTACCTCCTTCCTCCCTACCAGTCCCCCCAACTACCATCCCCTTCCCTCCCTACAGTCCCCCAGCACCATTACCCCCTTCCGTCCCCCAACTACCACACCCCCTTCCAGTCCCCCCAGCACCATACCCCCTTCCCTCCTACAGTCCCCCCACCACCATTACCCTCCTTCCTCCCTAGTCCCCCAGCTACCATTACCCCCCTTCCTCCCCTACCAGTCCCCCAGCTACCATTACCCCTTCAGTCCCCCCAGCTACCATTCCCCCCCCTTCCAGTCCCCCCAGCTACCATTACCCCTTCCTCTCCCGTTCCCCAGCTACCATGTCCCCCAGCTACCATTACCCCCCCTTCCCTCACCAGTCCCCCCAGCTACCATTCCCCCTTCAGTCCCCCCCCCAGCTTCTCCCCCCCTTCCAGTCCCCCAGCTACCATTACCCCCTTCCTCCTACCAGTCCCCCAGTGCCATACCCCCTTCCTCCCTACCAGTCCCCCCAGCTACCCCCCCCTTCCAGTCCCCCAGCTACCATTTCCCCCCTTCCCGGTCCCCCTTCAGCATTACCCCCCTTCCCTCCCTACCAGTCCCCCAGCTACCATTGCCCTCCTTCCCTACCAGTCCCCCCAGCCACCATTACCCCCTTCCTCCCTACCAGTCCCCCAGCTACCATTCCCCCCTTCCCTCCCTACCAGTCCCCCAGCTACCCCTTCCCTCCCTACAGTCCCCCAGCTACCATTCCCCTTCCTCCCTACCAGTCCCCCAGCTACCATTCCCCCTTCCTCCTACCAGTCCCCCAGCTACCATTACCCCCTTCCTCTACCAGTCCCCAGCTACCATTACCCCCTTCCTCCTACCCCCATACCATTACCCCTTCTCCCTACCAGTCCCCCAGCTACCATTGCCCCCCCCTCCTACCTACCAGTTTCCCGGCAAAAATTCATTTCAACAGTAAAAAATCCCTGTCGCTGTATTTCTTTATGTTATGTTGAGGTCATTATACTTGCCGTGTGTGTGTGTGTGTGTGTGTGTGTGTGTGTGTGTGTGTGTGTGTGTGTGTGTGTGTGTGTGTGTGTGCCTGTTGTTTGTTTTTTCCGTGGGAGAGTCTCCATGAAACGCATTTACCCAGTGAGTCCATCACTATTTTTCACAGGAAAGTCTCCACTTAGCTTTTGTAATCATAATTAGTTCTTTTTTTATTTTTTTCCACAGAGGCCTCCAGTTAGCTTATGTGCTGAGTTTTTCTTTTCCACAGGAGAATCTCCAGCTGGTTTACTGTATCTTGTTGCTTTTAATGAACCGCGAGTCAACTAGTGTGTTTATATTTCAGGTGACAACATACCCTCAAGTACATGTCAAGATATTAAGTGACTATGATAGTTATTTATCGAGCAACATCTCTCGCACCAGCAGCTTATGTATTCTTTGTTTAGGCAGAGATTAAGTTGGGGATTAATCAGTGTGTGTTGCGTCTCAGGTGTGCTGGCTGTGACTACACTGTATTAACCTGTGTGTGTGTGTTGCGTCTCAGGTGTGTTGGCTGTGACTACACTGTATTAACCTGTGTGTTCTCCTTCCCTCAGGGCAGCCATCATCCACATCCTCCGTCACCTGCTGCTGGAGACCCATTGCATCAGTCTTCATCAGTGGTCTCCTGGGAGTAGCCTGCAGGCCGGAGTGGTGGGCGTGCAGCAGTAGGCGTGCGGTCGCTTGTGATGTGAGGCTCCAGGCTGGCGTTCCCGTTCAAGGCGCCTGCAGGCAGCTCACTGCATCTCAGCAGGGCTACCCCACGCCCAGTGAGTACCTCTACGGTACGGCCTCTTCCTCACGTATATCCCTCCCCCGGCCTCTCTCACCCTCCGCCACTCAAGCACCAGTTAAGATAAAGAAGTACTTGCAACACACTCGCTCACACACTCGAGTACTACAGTTGGTGGAGCGTGGCGGAGAATGAGGGAGTGACTGTGTTCTTTTCATCCGGCACACCTGTGTCATGTGTGCCACTGTGAACTTACCTGCTAGTTAAGGTGTTGGGTGTGGCCTAACGCCCATGTTTTGCACTTGTCATCTCCTGCTATAAGTATCATCATTAGAGTACTGTAGACAGTAGTTGAGGTAGCTTGTAGAGGCGGCACTCCATGGCGGCACTCCACGGCGGCACTCCACGGCGGCACTCCATGGCGGCACTCCACGGCGGCACTCCACAGTACGGGGGTGGCACTCTGTGTTAATTGCCTCTGCTGTGATGGAACTGTATTTCATCTCAGTTCTTCTCGTCAACCCGCAGCTTCCATCCCCGAGTCTGTCTGGTGATAGGCAGATACTCCACCACCTCGCCACCATTTCGCCCTCCACCACCTCGTCCTCCATCACCTCGTCCTCCACTACCTCGCCCTCCCACCACCTCGCCCTCCACCACCTCGCCCTCCACCACCTCGCCCTCACCTCGCTCCTCCACCACCTCGCCCTCCCACCTCACCACCATTTCGCCTCCACCACCTGCCGCCCTCCACCACCTCGCCCTCCACCACCTCGCCTCCACCACCTCGCCTCCCACCACCTCGCCACCATTTCGCCCTCCACCACCTCGTCCTCCCATCCCTCGTCCTCCACCCTCCCTCCACCCTCCCCCTCCCCCACCTCTGCCTCCACCACCTCTGCCCTCCACCACCTCGCCCTCCCACCACCTCGCCCTCCTACCTCGCCCTCCACCACCTCGCCACCATTTCCCCTCCACCACCTCGCCCTCCCACCCTCGCCCTCCACCACCTCTTCCCTCCACCTCGCCACCATTTCGCCCTCCCACCCGTCCTCCATCACCTCGTCCTCCCTACCTCACTCCCCCACCTCGCCTCCACCACCTCGCCCTCCACCACCTCGCCTCCACCACCTCGCCCTCCACCCTCGCCTCCACCACCTCGCCCTCCACCACCTCGCCACCATTTCGCCCTCCACCACCTCGCCTCCACCACCTCGCCCTCCCACCACCTGCCCTCCACCACCTCGCCCTCCACCACCTCGCCCTCTACACACTCCTGATACACTGTCTGTTTTCTCTTCTTTCATCGTCGTTCTCTTCACCCTCCTCCTCCTCTCCTCCTCGTCTTCATCGTCTACCCTCTCTTCCTTCCCTGTACCTCTCCTACTGCCGTCGAAGATCTCTCTCTCTCTCTCTCTCTCTCTCTCTCTCTCTCTCTCTCTCTCTCTCTCTTCTCTCTCCCCTATTATCCCTCAGCACGATTTCTCTCTCTCTCCCCCTCTTAATCCTTATAGCCATCTCACATCTCCTCCCTCTCCTCTTTCTATAGTACGTCAGACTCTCTCTCTCTCTCTCTCTCTCTCTCTTCAACGTCTGTACCTTTATTTGTTCTCTTCTTATTTTCTGATTTTCCCCATCCCCCTTTCATTTATCTCTCTCTTCTCTCTTTGTGTTTGTGTGTTTGTCTCTCTCTTTTCTCTGTCTGTCTGTTTTTTGTGTCTGTCTGTCTGTCTGTCTGTTTTTGTGTCTGTCTGTCTGTCTGTCTGTTTTTGTGTCTGTCTGTCTGTCTGTCTGTTTTTGTGTGTCTGTCTGTCTGTCTGTCTGTTTTTGTGTCTGTCTATCTGTCTGTCTGTATGTCCTCTCTCTCTCTCTCTCTCTCTCTCTCTCTCTCTCTCTCTCTCTCTCTCTCTTTATATATATATATATATATATATATATATATATATATATATATATATATATCTTTCCATCGACTTCTGACTTAAACACAAACACTTTCCATCCGCCCACTCCATCACCCTCCCACACACACCGAATACCCTTCCTCACTTTCACTCCACACACGCCACGTCCTCCCTCCCCACAACACGCCACGCTCTCCTCCCCCCACAACACGCCACGTCCTCCCCACCCCCCACAACACGCCACGTCCTCCCCCACCCCACAACACGCCACGTCCTCCCACCCCACAACACGCCACGTCCCTCCCCCCACCCCCACAACACGCCACGTCCCCGTCTGCAGCTACACCCACTTGAACCTAAGGCGGGCGGTTGAGCACCAGGAGATGAAGGAGGAGGGGAGGAGACGATGGTAGGGTGTAGCATTAATAAGGCGGGTAATCAACGCTACCGACTCAGTTTGATCTTGAGTCTTGAACAAAGTTGATGTGATTAATGTTCTGGAAGGAGAGGGAGAGAGAGGGTGGGGGGGAGAGAGGGGGTGTGTGGGGGTGGAGAGAGGGGGTGTGTGTGGGAGGGGAGGGAGACAGAGCGCAGGTGTGTGTGTATTAGTTGGCCAGGTTAGGGAGGTGGGTAGGGAAAGGGGGTCAATCCAATACCTCCGTCAATTACAGGTTTATCGCTTAATTAGGCTGGTTTAGGGTTAGTGAGTTACTGTGATCCCAGTTTATTATGCGGACGCTCGCTCATAACACCATTACGGTCACAATTGGGTGTACTTATGTTGGGGGGTAACCAGAGCCCGGTGGGGGGGGGGGGGCAACAGGTATATGAGGACAATAACAACAGGTAGATATCAGCTGTTGTCTGTACGCTACACACACACACACACACACACACACACACACACACGAGTGAATATACACCTAGATATGCATACGAGTACACAGATATATTGTAATTCACATACATACATACATACAGTACATACATATATACATACATACATACATACATACATACATGCATACATACGTACATACCTGTGCTGTAACGCCAGGTGTTCTGGGGGGACGAGGTAAAATGCATCTTGATGCCAGGAGGTTATGTACTCATGTGTGTTAACTAATGTCCTTTGCCACGGGTTCGATTTCCGGGCCGGCGGAAAGTTGTTCGGACACACTTCCCAGCCTCCCTTGGTCCCTGTTCACCTAGCAGCAAAGTAGGTACCTGCTGTAAATCGAAAGTTGCGAATTCGTATTCAGGGACAAGTTGTTGGAGCTTCCAATAACTCGCTTAGACATAAACCATTGACTCTTCAGGCTTCTACGCCCTTGACTAATGAGACATAATGGCAAGCATGAACTTAGCATGCTTCCCTGATGGGCACTGTAAACGCTTCTGCACTTCACCTTACACAAGGATGTAGGGAGGTGCCCAATAAAAAAAAAATGTGCTTTGTATACTGTTTATGTTTGATAATAATAATAATAATAATAATAGTAATAATAATAACATTGCTATTATTACTATTGATATTAATACAACCATCACGGCCAAACAGCATCACACCACACTGTCAATCAGATCACACCAGACCCACGGCAGTATAAACACTGTGATAGCAATAAACACAAAAACAAAATTCATACGGTAACTGTTTCCCATTTACAGAGTATTGAAAACTATATTATTCTGGCGCTTATAATGGAAGACCGAAAATGGCGTTCTTCTTCCTGCCAGTTGAAGGAAGAAGAAGAAGAAAAAAAAAGACATTCTAACGTACGAGTCTTTTATAGGAATTCGAACCCAGGCACTTGGGAAGGCGGTGAGAGAGGCGGTCTTTGTCCCCGCCTTGGGCACAAGTCTCCCGCTATGTTGGGAGAATGGCGCCAAACTCGGTGTTGGGTGACAAATGAGCATCGGATGAATTCAAGTGTCGCATTCGATCCTAGGAGAACATCGCGAGTGGGAAAAAAAAACACAAGATGAATACTGTTATTGTTTTTTTTTTAGTTTGTGGGAGATAGTGGAGATGGAGAATCAAATATGGCAGGTATCAGAACACATATTGTCCAATGGTTTATGTGAGGTGACAGTGTGAGTGTGGTATAAACCTTTTTTTTTATATGCGAGCAGCAAAGACGCAAAGACCAGGGCAGGCAAACATGGCGAGTTGAGAGAATATTATAAGGATGACAGAAGAAACGTAAAGACAAAGATGTGATATTTAGCTTTGTGTGTTTGGTGGGGGGGGGGAGGAGGTGTCTGTGTTAGGGTGACGACACGTGACTCCCACACTACCAACTCAGTCGACTGTGTGCGTGTGTGTATGTATTATTTCGCTACGTGTATATGGATGTGTGTATGTATGTGTGCGTGTATAAATTAACTTCGTCTAAACAAGAATTAAAACTAAATCAAAACATTCCCGCCGCCATTAGTGTTTACAGTAAAACCTCCACATAGCGGACTTCTCCTTTCATAGAATCCGTTAGATGGAGAGGGGAGAGGAGGGGGGGGGACGTTTCACATCTAAAGGATCCTCTACATAACGGACTTGCAGGTACATATCCATAGTTTCATTCGATGGAGGTTGTCAACATCTAACGGAACACCTCGATATAACGGATTTTTCTCTCCCAATACCGTTAAATGGAGGTTTCACTGTACGAGTATAAGATGACAAATGAGCATCGGCCATCGTCAAGGCGACACGTGGCGTTAAGCTGCCTCGCGTGGCCTGATCGATTAATTAGACCAAGAGAACAGAAACAGTGGAAGAAGATTACGCGCTAATACCTTCACCAATCTCCTGCTCTTTTGTCGAGGTAGCATAGCCAATCATAACGAGTTGTCCCGCAAGAAACACGAGATATACCTCCCCATCCCCCCCCTTTCTCTCTTTCTTCCCTTTCTCTCTTCTTTCCTCTCTCTCCTCTCTGTTTCTATCCATAACCTCTATCACACCTCCTCTCTCTCGTCCTCTCTCTCTCTCTCTCCCTCTCAGATGACAAATATAATTATTCTCCCTTCTACCTCCTCAGTGACTGGTGAGTTATCAGACCTGGGTGAGTTAACAGACCTGGTGAGTTGGCCGTGACCTGGGGAGTTACTAGGACCTGGGTGAGTTACTGTTTATTTCATAGGAACCCTCCTGTCTAATTCTTTACATCACTGTCGTTCTTCTTACAACGGAAAATCTCAACCTTCTGCCCCACCAAATTCTCTGCACCTCTCCCCACTGACCCACCCCACCACACCACCCCCCCACCACCACACCCCCCTCCCACCACACTCCTCTACTCCCCACCACCACCCCACCACCACTCCTCTCTCCCACCGCCTCCTCTACCCCCACCACCACCTCTCGACCCCCCTCCCCCACCCACTCACCACCTCTCTCCCACCCCCTACCCCCCTCCCACTTCCACCACCTCTCCCACTGCCCTCCCCCTCCCCTTCCCCACCTGCCACCACCTCTCCCACCCCTCCCCTCCCCACTCACCACCTCTACCACCCCCTCTCTCACCCCCCTTTCTCCCACCCCCTGCCAGACCCTCCACCAGTAGCTGCTCCCTCTTCAGTATTCTCCATCAGTACCTCACCTTTTCCACTCTCTTTCCTTATTCCTCCTCCTCCCTCATCTTCAATTCCCCTTACTTCCTCCTCCTCCTCCTCCCTCATCTCCACCCCTCTTTCCTTCCCCCCTCCTCCTCCCTCCTCATCTCTTCAGCCCCCATTTCCTCCTCCTCCTCCTCATCTCCACTCCCCTCCTTCCCCCTCCCCCTCTCCCTCATCTCCACCCTCCATTTCCCTTGCCTCTCCCCCCCCCTCCCCCAGGTGAAGAGGTAACCCATCTACCCGCTCACTCTTGCTAATGATGACTGAACACTGAGTACTCAAACTTTAATTCCCAGTAACTACCTATTTACTTTTTTTATATCGTCATAGTTAAGTTAAAGTACCCTCATTAGTGTATGTATGTATGTATGTATGTATGTATGTATGTATGTATGGATGTATGGATGTATGTATGTATGTATGTGTGTATGTATGTATAAGTTAATGAGTTTTGGCTAATGTTGATAATTTAGGTTAAGGTTAGGTTTGGTTTCGTTTGGTTAGGTTTGGTTAGGTTAGGTTAGGGTTAGGTTAGGGTTAGGTTAGGTTTGGTTATGACAAACATATGAATACTTGAGAGATGGTGAATGAACGGGTTGTTATGCTTGGTTGCTGTGGTGGTTGTGGCTTGGGTGGTGATGGTGGTGTTGGTTGTTGTGGTGCTTGTGGTGATTGCTGTGGTGGCTGTGGTTTGGGTGGTGGTGTTGGTGTGGTGGTGGTTGCTGTGGTTTGGGTGGTGGTGTTGGTGTGGTGGTGGTTGCTGGGGGTGATGATTGCTGTGGTGGTGACATTGAGTGTATATACTGTACTGTAACCATCAATAACTATCATAAGTAGAAAAGTACACTTGTAAGGCTCGTAGTACAACCTTAAGTAAACAGTTTAAGTAGATAAGTAGGACGGTAGAGTATGTCATCACCCTGAGCCAGGATGTTAAGTGCTCTTGTTTTTAATGTTTATTTATTGAAGTAATTCCCTGTTCTCTTTTATTCAATTATCATTATTATACATTTAATAATATTTTAATTTATTTATATTATCCACTTGCTTGTTTGTTTTACTGTATTTATTAATGTTTTTGTTGTTATTATTATTATTATTATTATTATTATTATTATTATTATTATTATTATTATTATTATTATTATTATTATTATTATTATTATTATTATGTTGTTGTTGTTGTTGTTGTTGTTGTTGTTGTTATTATTATTATTGAAAACTCAGTATAATTCAAAATTAAATAGACGATCTAGTAGGCAACCCTAACCTACCTTAAACCTAACCTAACCTAACCTAACCTAACCTAACCTAACCTAACCTAACCTAACCTAATCCCACCTAACCTAACCTAACCTACCTTAAACCTAACCTAACCTAACCTAACCTAACCTAACCTAACCTAACCTAACCTAACCTAACCTTTAATACAGGTAATCACATAACACACACCTTTAACACACCTGGCCGGACTAATAGTTGTCCCCGGGACCTCAACTTTCCCACGAATTACACCTAAATGTTCTAAAATTATTCCGTGATAATCCGGTCCGTGTTATCAAACTTTCGGCACGTAATAATTTCACTCCAGAGACGATGATAATAATTTCTCCCTTGGTGGCTGGTTGGTCATGATTTGGTTAGGTTATGTTAGGTTATGTATGTATGTATGTATGAATGTATGTATGCATGTATGTATGTATGTATGTATGTCAGTGTACAGTCTCGTTCAAGATTCTTTGAACACTGCTGGAGACAGCTGGCAACCCAAGGCCGTTTGTTTACTATAGTACGTAGTAAAAATTATGAATAAATGTAAAACTGATCGGTGATTGGTTACTTAGTTCGCCGTTGCTTAATTAATGGTTGGACTTTGTTGTTTCGTATTATATTATACTACGTACTATAGTAAACAAACGGCCTTGAGTTGCCAGCTGTCTCCAGCAGTGTTCAAAGAATCTTGAACGAAACTGTACATGTGTCAAGAGAGGATTAGCAGTGTAAACAAAGCCTCTACTACCTCCTCTTCCTCTTCCTTCCTCCTCCTCTTCCTCCTCCTCCTCTTCCTCCTCCTCTTCCTTCATCTTCTCCCTCTGTCCCTTACCAATATAGACTAACTTCCTCATTTAAACACATAACTTACGTAACACTTGACCTATTACCCTGCCACCACTCCCACCCCCCCTGCCCCTCCCTCTACCCCCACCCCACCCCCCACCACACCCCCTGCCCCCTCCCCCTCTACTCCCCCCACCCCACCCCACACCCCCCTGCCCTCCTCTACCCACCCACCCCCACCCCACCCCCCTGCCTTGCCCCCACCCCCACCAACCAAAGGTACTTGTTTACGTGTTACGTTAAGGATCTGGGCTGGAAATATTATAATTCGAGTCATTAAGTCTTAATTAATCAGACCTGGGTTAATTATGTACTTTTAGAATGTTTAAAATTGTCAGTTATGCTGTACCTTTGTTGTTGTTGTTGTTCCAGGATATAATTAGTAGACTGACAAGGTCGATTTACCTGTAGTGAAACACACATGACCAGAACACACACACACACACACACACACACACACACACACAGTCAAAACACCTATAAACAAACACATATACAGGTGATTAACAGCATAAACAAGAAGACCTGTACACCTCTTATGTCTCTCCCTACCTCTTCCTTCTCCTCTTCCTCCTCCTCCGCCCTTCAAGACGGTCACTCTATGGTTTCCTACATACACACCCTCCTCTTCCTCCTCCTCTTCTTCTTTACGGCTTCTCTCTTGTTACACCATCTCTACACCCTGGTTATGGAGGGAGGAGTGAGGGGTGTCAGGGAAGGGGGATGGGTGGGTGTGAGGGAAGGGGGGATGGGTGGGTGTGAAGGTGGATGTAGTAGTGAAGGGAGAGAAGTGAGAGGAGGGGGTAGAGGTGTGAAGGAGTGAGATACACACCCTTAGAAAATATTGTGGGTGTCGATTGGTCGCAGTACCAAGTCCCCGCAGAGTAGGAGTTAGGTACCAGAGTCCGTATTAGTACCAAGAGTGCCGTGAGTACCAAGTCGCAGTACCAGAGTCGTGGTACCAGAGTCCCGTAGTACCAGAGTCCCGTGAGTACCAAGTGCCGTGAGTACCAGTCCAGTACCAGAGTCCCGTGGTACCAGGTGCCGTGAGTACCCAGAGTCCCGCAGTACCAGAATGCTGCGGTACCAGTGCTGCAGTGCCAGAGTCACCAGTACAGATTACCAGAGTACAATGATGCCACGAATACCAGGGTGCCAAGAACTAGGCCAGTGGCACTGTTGGTGGCACTCAGACACAACAGACCAAGGGATACAATAGTTGAGCCCTGTTCTATCTTCTGTTTTCTCAGCTCCTCTTGGTGGTTGTGGAGGGTCAGGTCAGGGGAGGTCAACTTGCTGTCTGGTGGAGGAAGAGGAGCAAGAGGAGGAGATGGAGAAGGAAGGAGATGGAGGGGGAAGAAGAGTGGAGGAGGAAGAGGAGGTGGAGGTGGAAGAAGAGGTGGAGGATGGAGGAGGTGGAAGAGGAAAGAAGAGGTGTGAAGAGGGGAGGTGGAGGAGGAAGAGGAGGACGACCTTTCTGGCTGTTTGTTGGATTGTTGAGGTTTCTGTTGGGTTAAATTAATAGGGCACAGAGAGAGAGGGGGGGAGAGAGAATGAAGGGACGGTGAGATCAAGAGAGTGGGAGGGTAAGGGACGGGAGATTAGAGAGGAGGGATAAAAGAGAGATGAAGAGCCGGATTGATGTAAGCCACAAAAACCCACACCATCAACACTTGCACATTGAATCAATATTAATCAATAACAAAGATGATGATGGGGAGAAGGATATATGAGGGGAGGAAAAGCCACACACCCGGGACAATGGCTACCCTCTGTCCTCTCCCCTCTGTCCTCCCCTCTGTCTTCTCCCCTCTGTCTCCCTCTGCCCCCTTCCTCGCTCTCTCTCCCTTTCCTTCTCTTCTATCATCCCTACAATGTATTCCCTCCCTCCCTCCTCTTTCTTCTCCCCCTCCTCCTTTCTTCTTCCTCCTCTCCCCTTCGCCCTCCCTCTCCCACCCTCTCCTCTTCCTCTTCCTTCTCCTCCTCTCCCCCACCCTCTCCTCTCTTCCTCTTCCTTCTCCCCTCTCCTCCTCCTCTCCCCCACCCTCTCTCTCTCTCTTCCTCTCTTCTTTCTCCCTCTTCTCCTCCTCTCCTCCAACCCTCTCTTTCTCTTCCTCCCATTCACCTCCTCTTCTCCTCCTCCTCTTCTTCTCCCTCGTCTTCTTCTCCCTCCCACGTATCATCCCTACCTCGTATTTTTCAAACTCTCCATCCCTCCCCCCCCACTCACCTCCCTCCCCGCCCACTCCTCCATCCCTCCCGCCCACTAACCATCCCTCCCTCCCCCACTCTGTCCCTCCCGCCCACTCACCATCCCTCCCCGCCCACCACATCCCTCCCTCCCCCACTCACCATCCCTCCCGCCCACTCCCCATCCCTCCCTCCCCTCACCATCCCTCCTCCCACTCACCATCCCTCCCTCCCATTCACCATCCCTCCTTCCCACTCACCATCCCTCCTCCACTCACCATCCTCCCCGCCCACTCTGCATCCCCTCCCTCCCCACTCACCATCCTCCCTCCCCACTCACCATCCCTCCTCCCCCTCCCATCCCTCCCCTCACTCTCCATCCCTCCCCGCCCACTCACCATCCCTCCCTCCTCCTCACCATCCCTTCCCTCCCCACTCACCATACCTTCCTCCCCACTCACCGTCCCTTTCTCTCCACTCACCATCCCTCCCCACCCCTCCTTCACTCCCCCGCTATCCCTCCCTCCCCACTCATCATCCCTCCCCACTCACCATACCTCCCTCTCTCCCTTTCCCTTTCATCCCCCACGCAGGATGGGAACCAACTAATCCCGGAAAATATAGGGAGCGAATAATCCGAGGGTGATCACCGTGCCGACCAACCCATGAAAAATAGGCCTCTCTCTCTCTCTCTCTCTCTCTCTCTCTTCTCTCATGCTGCTTGCTTTGGTGTGTGTGTGTGTGTGTGTGTGTGTGTGTATCTAGTGTGTTTATAGTTGTTTGCTTCTGGTCTGAGTTATTGTTTACATCTAATGCGTCTGCTCGTGAAGTATCTGTCATTGTTTACATTAATCTTGCCTCGTTGTCTACATAATAATTAGTGTGTTTGCCTGTGTTGTTGTCTCACTCCTGGGTGGTTTGCACGTCTAATTACTGTGGGTAAACAACAAATTGGAGTGTTTACAATCTGATCGTGTGTCTGTCTTTTGTCTGCCTCTTGCTTGAATAATTGTCTACACCTAAATTGTTTGACCATGTCGCGGGGGGGATACTTCAAGGGGGGAATTGTTTACCTTGTTTGCTTTATGAAGTTACGTTTGTTTGCATGTTCGGCTCTGTCGTGTGTGGTAGATCCGTGTCTGTTTAAATGTCATGTCTGTCAGTCTTAATATCAAGCGGTCGTGACAGTAGAATAATTATTTGTCAGTTATTGTTACTTGTGTTACTGCTACTTTGAGTGTTATATTGTGTTACTTTTATGTTGAGTGTTACATTGTGTTACTGTTACGTTGAGTGTTATATTGTGCTACTGTTACGTTTAGTGTTATTTTGTGTACCTGTTGGAGTGTTATATTGTATTACTGTACTGTTACGTTGAGTGTTATATTGTGTTACTGTTACATGAGTGTTACATTGTGTTACTGTGACGTGTGTTACAACGTGTTACTCCCGTTGTATTTCTCAAGAGCTGTTACGTAGGTTATTCCTGAGTCGAAATTATTATAACTTTTCGGTTATTTTATCATTTTAACTCAATCTAAGTTTGTGTCAGTGTGAAGGTGTTGCTATATGTGAGGTGGTGTCATGTGTCATATAAGAGTATCACACACCTACATGTGACACACTCAAGTTGTGGGGTGTCATGCAGAAGTGTCACATGAAGTGTCATAGGTCATATATGGGTCACAGAAATTAGTGTCATATATAGAAGTGTTACATTACTTAAGTGGTCATATACAGGAGCGTCACATTATTTTAAGTGTCATATATCACATTTGTATTATTGTCATATAGGAAGTGTCACATAAGTTAGTGTCATGGACTGTCATAAACGTGCCAGTAACCACCCTTAGTGACTGTGTTATGTCGTTACACCATAGCAGCGCCTGCCAGGAAGCAGCGGCGGAAGGACCACCTTCACTAGGGCCCAGCTGGACGTGTTGGAGTCACTGTTCAGCAAGACCCGCTATCCTGACATCTTTATGAGGAGAGTGGCCCTTAAGATCAACCTGCCCGAGAGTCGAGTACAGGTGAGCTCTTCCTCTCTCTCTCTCTCTCTCTCTCTCTCTCTCTTACCTGCTGTTATGTTATGTCCAATTGCTATCATCTGTTACGTCCATCTATCCAGCTGATCTGATTGGTTACTGTGACGTCCATCTATCCTGCTGATCTGATTGGTTACTGTGACGTCCATCTATCCTGCTGATCTGATTGGTTACTGTGACGTCCATCTATCCTGGTGATCTGATTGGTTACTGTGACGTCCATCTATCTGGTGATCTGATTGGTTACTGTGACGTCCATCTATCCTGCTGATCTGATTGGTTACTGTGACGTCCATCTATCAGCTGATCTGATTGGTTACTGTGACGTCCATCTATCCTGGTGATCTGATTGGTTACTGTGACGTCCATCTATCCTGACTGATCTGATTGGTTACTGTGACGTCCATCTATCCTGCTGATCTGATTGGTTACTGTGACGTCCATCTATCTCTGATTGGTTACTGTGACGTCCATCTATCCTCCTGATCTGATTGATTACTGTGACGTCCATCTATCCTGCTGATCTGATTGGTTACTGTGCAGTCCTCTATCTGATCTGATTGGACTGTGACGTCCATATATCCTGGTGATCTGATTGGTTACTGCCTCTCACAACATTGACCTATATTACTTGTCTATTTTAAAAATATATTAATAGTAAGAGTTATATGGGTTGTATGTGAACCGCAGGTTCTGTTGGGTCTGAATGTTGCAGGGTTAGAATAATTATATTCCCATTCTCTTTACTCCTTCCTCCTCTCTCCGCCTCATCTCTTCTTCATCCCTCCTTCACGGCCATCTCTCTCTTTCCCACTTCCTGATTCTCTGTCTTTCCCCCTTAACATCTGCATGCGTCACTCTCCTTCCTCCTTCACATCTGCGTCTCTCTCCTCCTTCATCTCTCCTTCCTCCTTAGCTGTCTCTCCCCTTCCTCCTGAGTGTTATTCAGGTCGACAGGTAAATGTTCTGATGAGGCAAGAGACGAGGAACTTTAGGTGGGCATTTGTTCAAGTCGACGTGGATTATGACCTAAAAACATCGGGGTATAGGTGTATTGAGGCGTCCATCTGTCCAACTAACAGACAGACGAGCAGACAGATGGGCCGAGAGAGAGACAGACAGACAGACAGACAAACAGACAGAGAGACAGATAGACAGACAGACAGACATTTATACCTTTGATTTCAACATCAGACAGTATCAAGGAGAGAGTCATATACAAGCTTTACAGAGCAGTGTATACCTGTGGGTGTACCGCCGCAGCTGCCACCTGTACTACACCACAGGTCTCCCCACCACCACACTCCCCCGCAGTACCACCTTCAGACTGCCCCCGCGGTCTGACTTAACGGGGCACCTACAGGTAATCCTCGCTGGGGTGGTGGGGACACGATCCTCATCCTGTGTGCTGGCTGGCCCCGCACCACATGTGTTCTACCACCAACACTACTACTACCAACGCCACTACAACTACAAACATACTTCATTTCACCACACAGCCCGCTCCACCACATGTGTTCTACCACCACGCTCTACCACCACCACTACTACTACCACCACCACTACTACTACTACTACCACACTTCTCGACTCCTGCACTAGATGTCTTCTACCACCACCACTACTACTACCACTACACAACCAAACTCCGCACCACATGTGTTCTACCGCCACTACTACTACCACCACTACCACTACTACCACTACCACCACACTGCCCTGCCCCCGCACCACATGTGTCCATTATCACCACAGGCCCACCACTATCACTACTACTACTACCACTACTACTTTAATTTTTAAAACGTTGTCCACGGCCTCCCCCCAATAGCCACACCTTCCCTGCCATTTTATTACCTTAAGATTAAATATCCTAATACATAAGTAGCTATCCTAGCTGTGTTGAGTTAGTTGAGCCGCTGATCTATGCAGCATTCAGTGACTGTTGCTTCATAGTCAATATCTGCAACTGTTGTCGGCTTTGGGGCCCGTGCTCATTCCCTGAAGCAGAGCAAAGCCGACCAAAGGAGAGAGAAAGACAGTCGACATCTCATCCAGGCTGGAACGTAACATCTGGACTGCTGCTTCTGTTCAGGATGACCTCCCCGAGTCTGGCGTAAAGCATCTTGCAGTTCATCCACCAGAGGTTGTGAACACTAGAGTGGAAGCTGGCCTTGATCAACGTTCTGAATTCTCTACCCGTATCCCCTTATCACTACTACCACCACCACTACTCTCACTACTACCCCCACTACTCTCACTACCACCACCACCACCACCACCACCACCACCACCACCACCACCACTCTCTCTCCTCCACCACTACTCTCCTTTCTACTCTGCTACCCCACCACCACCACCACCACCACCACTACTCTCCTCCTACCACCACCACCTCCCTTTTCGCTCTACCACCACCACCACCACCACCACCTCTCACTACTGCCACCACCACTTCTCCTTTCTCCACCACCACTCACACTATCTCCTCTTCTACCACCACCACCACTACTCTCACCTACTACCACCACCACTACCTCACCACTACCACCACCATACTTTCTCTCCTTTCTTCAGCCACCACGCCACCACTTCTTTCACTCCACCACCACCTACCACCACCACCACACTTTCACTGCCACCACCACTACCACCAACCACCACCCCAACATTACTCTCCCCTACTGCCACCACCACCACCACTCTCACCACCACTACCATCACCACCACCACTCTCACCTCCTATCACCACCACCTCCCACACTCTCCACTACCACTACACCATCACCACCACCACTCTCACCACTACCACCACCACTACCACTACTTCACTACCACCACCACCTAACCACCCTCTCCACCACTACCATCACCACCACTCTCCTTCACTACCACCACCACCACCACCACCACCACCACTGCTCTCCACTACTACCATCACCACCACCACTCTCTTTCTACCACCACCACTACCACTACCACTACCTACTACCATCCCACCCACCACTCTCACTACTACCACCACCACTACCACTACTCTCACTACTACTCCATCACCACCACCATCTCACTACTACCACCACCACTACCACTCACTCACTACCATACCATACCACTGCTCTCACTACTACCATCCTACCACTCACTCTCCACTACTACCACCACCACTACCATTCTCACTACTACTACCACCACCACCACCCACTACACCCACCATATTCTCCTCTTTCTACCACCACCACTACTCTCACTACTGCCACCACCACTATCTCACTACTACCACCACCACCACTACTCTCTACCACCACTATACCACTACCCCACCACCACTCTCTCCACCACCACCACCACTATCTCCACTTCTACCACCACCACTCTCTCCTACTCCACCACCACATCATCACTACTCCTCCTCACTACTACCACCACCACTACTCCTGCTACTACTACCACCACCCCACCACCACTCTCTCACTACTACCACCACCACCACCACCACTAACTCATTCTATCCACCACCACCACCACCACTACCACTACTACTACACCACCACCACCACCACTACTCTCACTACTACCACCACCACCACTACCTCTCCACTACTACTACCACCACCACCACTACTCTCACCACCACCACCACTACTCTCACCCACCCACTACCACCACTCTCACTACCACCACCACCACCACCACCACTACTCTCACTACACCACCACTATCATACATACATCCTGGGCAGCAGTGGGTCGTGACGCAACACAGTGAGGCGCTCTTGGTCTAAAGTTTTACCGTCACGTCCAAGTGTTACATATGAACATCCTCTAAACACTGGCTGGCTGGCTGGGAGATTTGGGCCAGGGTTCGACTCCAGGGATCTCCTTACGACCTTCACACCTTACCCCGTCTTGCACACTTTACTACTAAGACTCTTAACGTATTGACACACTCTACCAACACACACATACCACCATACATCACTAACACACACACACACACACACACACATCACTAACACACACACACACACACACACACACACACACACACACACACACACACACACACACCTATAGGTCACCTCCTCCTCCTCCTCCTCCTCCTCCTCCTCCTCCTCCCTCATCTTCCTTCTCCTGACCTAACTGTAACGCCCCACAAGCAACAACTGGTCGCTCCTTAAGACAACACTTGGAGAGTTGACCCAAGATTCAAGTTTAACGCCGACAGTCTTGGTGGTAGTTGAAGATGGAGTCGAGAGGGCAGGGAGAGATCTTTCCCCATGTCTTCCTCAAGTCCTCCTCCTTCCCTCCCTCCGTCCTTACCCCCTTCCCTCCTTCACCCCTCCCTCAGTCCTTCCCCTCTCCCTCCTTCACCCCTCCCTCAGTCCTTCCCCCTCCCCTACCTCCTTCACCCCTCCTCAGTCCTTCCCCCCTCCCCTCTTCCTCTCCCTCCTTCCTCCCTCAGTCCTCCCCTCTCTCCCACCTCCCTCCTACTACTCTTGGTAGTGCGTAGGAAACTTGAAATCTTGACTACTTACAAACTCTCCACTTTAAGTTAGTTTCCACCCGGCATTTCCAGAAGCAGAGAAGGTTTGGAAGAGGGGGGAGGGGTGTGTAACTACTGGTGCGATGTGTGGGGGTGAGGGAGTGATGTGTGGGGGTGAGGGATGGTGTGTGTGAAGAGTGAGGTGTGAGATGAGACGGACTGTGGGGGTGAGGGGTTGGGGGAAGAGGGAAGGAATTATACCCATTAATACAATCAAATAATTGTAAAGAGAATACAGTTGAAGATCAAGACGTTCTTCTCAAGACTGACAGACAGACAGTTTTGGTGTGTGTGTGTGTGTGTGTGTCCTGACTTACTCCTATATTTACCTGTTGGTCCCGATAAGGTTGAATAGGTCCTAGCTGATTGACTGTTGACTGACTGACTGACTATGTTAATAAGAGCACAGGTGATCAAGCTCAGTACCCCCAGACACCTTTCCTTCCCTTCCTCACCTTCACCCTAAACCCCCTCCCCTCATCCTCAACCTTCCCCCCTCCTCCCCTTATAAGGTGAAGGAGAAGAGAGGCGGCAGAGAGGGAAGAGAAGTGAAAGGAAGGAGGAACGAAAATAGATAAGTGAGGAGAGAGAGAGAGAGAGATGAGTACAGATCAGGTGAAGGAGAGAAGTCACGAACCTTCTTCTCGAGTCATGGCGGCTGAAAGGGGGGAGGAAGAGGAGGGGTAAGGAAGAGGGGGGGGGGGATGCGGTTACCAACTCATTAGCAGAGGCAGGGCAAAGGACGCAGCCCCATGATCCCTTAAAGACGCGGCCCACTAACGTAACGCAACGTAACCTGACGTAACATTCCAATATAATCCAGGTTAGGTGGGCGGTATCCATCGACTTCCCATGATCCTGGTGTTTACATCACTACTACGTTATCACCACGTCACTACCACGTCACTGATGTTGACAAGAAACTGTGTAGCTAACAACGCGATATAACTTGACCAAAGAGCATTGACTTGGAGGGGCGCCACGTCACTGGGGACGGGCGTGCACGTGGTTGGTAACATAACAGCAGCCAGGGACGAGAGTGACTCCAGCTACAGCTCAGCTTTAGTGTATGGATCTTGCCCACTGTGGCCACATGTTCGCCTGCACTGCCCACCCCGAGGCTCCAACACCCCGACAAATAAACAAATAAAATACCAATATATCTGAAACAAAATACAAAAAACTTCAGTAGAAGTGATATTTTTATTATTGTTTTTGTTGTTTTGTTGTTCCCGTGTTGCGTGTGTTGCAAAGGTTGGTATATATGACTTAGTCTTTTGCAACACCTCCTCTCTCCTCCACCACCAGCAGTAACACAGATGGTGGTGATGCAAGACTAAATTGAATGTCTCTTTCTAACGCTATTACCACTTTTACTGGATTGTAAAACACACACACACACACACACACACACACACACACACACACACACACACACACACACACACACACACACACACCACTACTACTACTACTAGTACCACTACTTTGCAGTCACTTGGAATCGAGTATGACGATCATCCAGCTATGATACAATGATATGAGTTATTAAGGATGTCATCTTCGTTGGTGAGTTCTGAGGTGACTCGAGAGGGGTGCATCTAGTGCAGGAGGGGCAGCTCGTCTTTCCGGCGTTGGCGCTTGCTTGCCTCGGTATGCAGTCGGGCTAACTCGAAAGTATTGACACCTTTTCGTGTGGTGCTCCTCCAAGCGTTACGATGTGGAGTAATCGTCTCCCAGGTGAGGGGGTCGATTTGGCACTTTTTCAGGTTTGTCCTAAGATTATCCTTATACCTTTTCAGTTGCCCGCCAGCGTTACGTTTACTATTCGTTAGGTGACTGTAAAGTAGCTGCTTTGACAGTCTACTGTACTGTCATCCATGCTGCTAACATGGCCAGTTCATGGATAATGGTAGTCTCGATGCTCCTACAGTTGGTGTCAGTGAGAATACTGGAATTTGTTCTCTTGTCTTCCCAGCGAACTCGGAGGATGGAACGTAGACTACGTTGGTGAAAGTTTCCAAGTGCCTTGAGGTGCCTCCTATGTGACCCATGTCTCGCTGCCATATAGCAGGGTGGGGAGGACCACTGCTCAATATACATGCAGCTTTGTAGATAATTTCAGCTCCTTACAGCCAAATGCTTGAGATGCACATCTGCCCCGATGTTGAATCTCTTCATCAATGTCCACGGTGGTGAGCAGGTGGAAGCCGAGATACTGAAAGTGGGTAACATTAGAGAGGGTAGCACCGTTAAGCTGAATGGATGGTGGATGTGTGGTTGAACAAGGGGCAGGGTGAAAGAGAATCTGAGTCTTACGTGCATTCACCTCAAGGCCGAATTGTGCATACGCATCTACGTAGGTGCTCAGGATCTCCTGTAGGTCGCGTTCAGTGTGAGCGACGAGTGTGAGGTCGTCTGCATACTGAAGTTTAGTAATGGAAGCTGACGACACCTTTGTTCCAGCCTGGAGTCGTCTTATGTTGAAAACTTCCTTTATCCGGTACTCGATGTCCACCCCGCCGGCTAAATTGGCAGTGGCCTGAGTAAGGAAGGTAGCCAAGAAAATGGAAAAGAGAGTTGGTGCCAGTACACACCCTTGTTTAACCCCTGTTTGGATGGAGAAGAACTCAGATTGGGTGCCATTGTGTAGGACACTGCCGTTCATGCCATCGTGGAGTTGCCTCACAGTGGTATTGAATATTGGTGGGCAGCCAAAACGGCTGAGGGTCCACTAGAGGGCTTCCCTGTTGACCGAGTCGAAGGCCTTGGTTAGGTCGATGAAGGCCATGCACAAGTCACGGCACTGTTCTCTGCACTTTTTCTGTATCTGGTGGGCAGCAAAGATCATGTCAGTGGTGCCACTGGATGGTCTAAAGCCACATTGAGATTCATGGAGGAAGTTTTATGCCTTAGGAAGAAGTCTGTTGAGGAGGACTCGGGCAATAATCTTGCCAGCTATGGATAGCAGTGAGATCCCGCGGTAATTGCCACAGTCTGACCAGTTTCCCTTGTTCTTATAAATATTGACGATCTTGAGGGATTTCCTCCTCCCATATATTCTCCAGGAGAGAGAGAGACGGCTGGTAAGCAGTGGCCCTCCTTTTTTATACACCGTGCTGGGATTCCATCAGGCCCTGTAGCTTTGTTTTCATTTGCTTGATGGCAGTAGTTACCTCATCCAGGGATGGAGGAGAGCTGAGGCAGGTCAGCTTTTGGAGGAACCTGCTGGGTAGTCAGGACAACTACATCGGTGTTTCAGTTGAGCAGCGAATGATAGTGCTCTTTCCAGTGCTGATGGATACCTTCTTCGTCTTTAATTAGGGAGTTACTTTTGGATGAGTGGAGGGGGCCACGCCATGAGTAGTTGGGCTATATATTGTTTTGGCGGAATTGAAAAATTCATGCAACTTGTGTTGAAATGCAAGTTTTTGTGATTCACGCTTCTTTTTTCAACAAATTCGTTCTTTAGATTGCGAAGTTCGTGCTGGGCAGCCGCTTTCTTCTTGCAAAAAGTATTAGCTTTGATCCGAGATTGAGGGTTGTTCTGCCAGTCAGTTAAGGCAGCACGTTTATCATCTACGAGTACGTTGAGTTCTGGGTTATTTTCATCAAACCAATCCTGGTATTTTCTTGTGATCAGGCAGGTGTTTTGTGATGACAGCTTTGATGGGACCTCATTTGACACAGGTTGTTTGTTGTTGGGTTATTTATTAACCCATTGTTGAGTTGCTCTCTGAAGCCATGTGCTACCGCTGGATCCTCCAGTCGCTTGGTGTTAAAGCCTCTTCTGGAGGCTTGTTGCCTTCGCCGTTTTGGGGTGACGTGAAGGGAGAGTTTGGCCCTAACGAGCCGATGATCTGTATCACAGTGGTCTGAGCCACGCATGGCTCGGGTGATGAGGACATCTAGGCGATCTCTTTCTCTGACAATAATGTAGTCAATGAGATGCCAGTGTTTGGATCGTGGGTGTTGCCACGAACCCTTGAACTTGTCGGCCTGCCTAAACAAGGTATTGGTGATGGTGAGGTTTTGTGCAGCACAATTGTTGGCTGTTGGGATTACACTTGCCTACTCTGTTTCTCCCTGTGATTCCCTGCCATGTCAGCATCTCTGCCAACTCTGGCATTGAAGTCACCTAAGAGCACAACCTTATCTTCTTTGGGGATAGAGGTTAACACTCTGTCAAGGTTGGCATAAAAGGCCTCCAAGATGATGATCTTCTGCATCCAGTGTTGGGACGTTTGCACTGATGAAAAAGGCATGACGTGAGTGATTGAATGGGACTTGGAGCAACAGATATTTCAGCTAGCATATGTAAGATGGATTAGCGGATGGCAAAGCCAACTCCATAAATGCAGTTTCTCTCCGCAGCAGGCTTACCCTTCCAGAAGAAGGTATAGCCGGACCCCCTCGTTCTTTGAGTCGACCCTCGTCTGGGAGCCGGGACTCACTAGTGGCTGCTAGCCAGCTCTTTTGCCACAAGGGCAGTTCCTCTTTCAGGACGCTCATTTGTGCCAGTATCCAGAAGGGTCCTGACATTCCATGCAGCAACCATAAGAGGTTGTAGAGTTTGGTTTTGCTTTGATCTATGATTATGATTGTGTTTTCGACCGCATAAGGATGACCTTACTGGGTGCGGTTGCCCAGTCAGGTTGGTTTATTTAGGTAGGCTATGTTAAGGTCACCTTTTCTAGCCCCCTCCCAATGTGGGGTGAGCAGAGTGCCTCCTCGAAAGGGCTACTCAGTCGCACAGACAGGACCGAATTGCACTGCTGCCTAGATCCCAATGCATAAGCCACCGATGTGCAGAGTTGTGACTAGAGACTCCCGGCAGTCATCTCTGCCTGTCCCCGTCGCCACTCGTCTGTCGCCATAGGACTTTTGGAGGTTTAGGGGTTTGATGATAATGAAAAGTATGATGAGCTGGATGATGGCAGTGAGTGAGTTGATTTATGTGGTGAGGCAGGAGCGCAGGCTGCAATCGCACATCTTGGTTCTCCCTGTTCCTGATCCAGTGGTGCAAGTGTTGCAATGACTGGGGAGAGAGAGAGATGCCGATAGCCCAGTTTGTTGGGTTTTGCCTTAGTAATCTGTCCATCATGTTAACAGATATTGACAGGTGCTTATGTGGTGTTGGCTGGTACTAACAGGTGTTTATGTAGTGTTGGCAGGTGTTTATGTAGTGTTGGCAAGTACTAACAGGTGTTTATGTGGTATTTGCAGGTGTGGTTCAAGAACCGTCGGGCCAAGTGTCGTCAGCAGCAGAAGCAACAGGCGGCGGGGGCGGAGAAGACTCCGAGAACAAAGAAGGTGGCCAAGTCCCCGCCCCCCTCCTCCACACAGACGTCGCAGCCCTCGGGACAGACTACCACCGGAGGTGTGGGCGCAACCGCTACGCCACCGCCGTCAGGGGGCGGCCATAGAGACGCCTCGCCACCTTCACCGCCGCCCTCCGTCAGCTCGGCCCCGCCCCTGCCGCTCACCCCGTCCTCCACTGCCCCGACCTCCTACAACCCTATCTGGTCTCCAGCAGCTATACCGCCTGCGGGATCGGCGTCCATCCCACCTATGGGAGACCTGATGACGCCGCCGTGCCTGGACCGTGGCGGCTATGGCGGTGTAAGTCAGCAGGCGGCGGCGGCGGCGGCCTGCTACCAGAGCTACGCCGCCCCCTCTTACTACTCCAACATGGACTACCTCACACCCATGTCACACTCTCAGATCAACGTCCCGGTGAGTCACCCGCGTCCCTCCTCACAATAAATCCTGACAACCTTTATACAGTATACTCCCCCATCCTGATGTCTCTTATATAATTTGTTTTAACATGATAAGTAATAAAATGTTTTACTGTGGCTGCAGGTGAGCTCCATGGCTTCTCTCAACCCTATGGGAGGCGGCGGCGGGCAGCAGATGTCCCACTCGGCTGGTTCAGGGTTGGGGTCCTCACTGGTGTCCTCGTCCCTGGGAACCTCCTCGCTGGGGTCTGCGGGGTCCCTGGGGTCTAGTCAGTCTCTCAGCCCCAGGACCCCGCCAACAGTCAACTCCCTCACGCCCCTGCCGCCAGACTGCCTCGAGTACACGGACAAGAACACGGCCGCCTGGAAGTCCTACCAAAGTTTCCAAGTGTTGTGAGCTGCCACATGATAAAGGCCCCTACGAGATAACCTCAAGTGAAATGAAAAAAAAAAGTCAAAAGTTAGCAAGAAACAGAATGATAACTTTGGAATGTTAACCTGCCTGCCTCACCTGTCGCTTCCACGGGCTAGCAGGTGAGGAGGGGGGAATCGGCCACTGGCATCACTCTGCCCTCACCTCACACGTATCAACCCTCAGAGATATAATCATACATGACGGGCCAGGAAGTTAATAGTGCCATTATGCAGTGTTTGTGTCAGGTAAAGCTGGTCACCTGTGCTCCTCCCATCATGCCACTCCTCAGATGTTCTCTCCGTGTCTCTTTATCTACCTGGCGTCACTGCCAGGTAAACTCTCTCTATCTACCTGGCGTCACTCCCAGGTAAACTGTCTATCTACTTGGTGTTACTCCCAGGTAAACTGTCTCCTATGTACCTGGCGCTATTCCCAGGTAAACTGTCTATCCACCTGTTGTTACTCCCAGGTAAAATGTCTGTCTACCTGGCGTTACTCCCAGGTAAAATGTCTGTCTACCTGGCGTTACTCCCAGGTAAACTGTCTCTTTCTACCTGGCGTTACTCCCAGGTAAACTGTCTATCCACCTGGCGTTACCTCCAGGTAAACTGTCTCTTTCTACCTGGCGTTACTCCCGGGTAAACTGCCTATCCACTTGGCGTTACTCCCAGGTAAACTGTCTCTTTCTACCTGGCGTTACTCCCAGGTAAACTGTCTATCCACCTGGCGTTACTCCCAGGTAAACTGTCTATCCACCTGGTGTTACTCCCAGGTAAATTGTCTGTCCACCTGGCGTTACTCCCAGGTAAACTGTCTATCCACCTGGTGTTACTCCCAGGTCAACTGTCTATCCACCTGGTGTTACTCCCAGGTAAACAGGGCGGTTAAAGAGGACTTAAGTATATAGTTAGACGTGTCGACAATATTTAATGTTGAGTAGCCGTAGAAACTAGACAAGACAGTATTTTATTTTAGTTTCACTGTCTCTTTTTTGCCACATGTTATGAAAACGGCGGATAAGTTTGCTATGGGGCGGCTGTCAAATTCAGACATGCTATTTTGCCGTATTTTCTGTCTTTCAAAAGATGCTCACGGCAAAACAGCGTCTCTGTATGGACGGCTGGCAGGTTGGGTGTGTTGACAGGACTACTGGCTCACGGCAACACCTCCACATCGTTTTATTTATAAGCAAAGTATTACATTAACTTAGAACAATTACTTGTTGTAAATAATTGGTTAATGTTTTAGAAATGAAAATGTTTTGGACTGTTAGATACAGCTAAAATAATTTATGGTGTGGTTTAGTTTCATAATGTGGTGGTGAGAGTTGGTGGTATACAGCCGTCTGTGTTGGTCGGTTCACCTCTGCGTGAAACCACATGGCGGTAAGGATATCAAATTCCGAGTTTAATGAATATATAACACAGGCGCAGCCGTGTGTAAAGAATCTTTGTTCTAGTTCAGTGAAATTCAGATTAAGTTCACAGTTGAGATGATTATGTAATGAGAATGTACGCCCTTTATCCCGCTCAGCTGAGTTGGAGGCAATTTAATATATATATATATATATATATATATATATATATATATATATATATATATATATATATATATATATATATATATATATATATATATATATATATATATATAGAATAATGAGACGTTCAGTACTGTACAGTATATCTTATTTGGTTGTCGGAAAAACAATACTTGGACTATGTGGCAGCACAAATGTCGGCATTCATGAGTGAGTTATCGTCCTCAACACACCACCACCCGGATGGTGACACAGAAATAACTCCAGAGTATATCAACGTGGCTACTTAAGTGTTAGCGAGCACTGGGGGTGGGTGCTCCGTACTGGCAACACTGAGATGGCGCTTGGGTATAAGAAGCATTAACTGGCACTACTGCACAATCGGCACCTCTGCACCACCACCCTCCGCCCTCAGCTGTGTGTGGGCGGAGGACCGTGAGTGAGGTGGTCACTGGCGCCCTGGCGGTCGGCGACCCTCACCAGGGTCCCCCTCCCTCTGCGCTCGTCCGGGTGGCGAGGCACTAGACCAGGCACTATGTAACATTGCTCCGGCAGGAGGAACACTCGACCCACTGGTTACATTTAAATTTTTAATGTCTGGACGCACACACACACACACACACACACACACACACACACACATACGTACATACATACATACATACATATACACACGCATACACACACAAACATACATATACATACATACACACACACACATATACACACACACACACATAAACACACATACACACACACACATACAGACACACACATATACACACACACACACACCTGGAATACACGTCTGTTTCGACCATATCAACATCTGTTACAGATGAACTATTTGCAAATGCGTTTGTTGTTGCAGCATCAAGAACAACAAGTACTGGGGGGTCACTGTGGACATTAAGGAAAACCGTCATTTGCATAACACACACGTGAACAAGATCACGTCCAGTCTGCTGCAGCCTGGGGTCAGTAGTGGCAGCCTGAAGCTTCAACACGTGGAGAAAAGCGGCCCACAGCAGCAGCAAAGTCTCCTTCATAGACTTGAGCTTAACAAACAAACTCTTACAACGGACCACTTCATCCCCCCAAAATGGTTAGAGTGAAAACACAACTGGGGCCTTAAGTGTATCAGGGTGAGAGGAAGTGTCTCAAGAGTGTTGTGGCAGGTCTTGAAATGTTTGGAAGTGGCAAAAATTACTAGGAGTTGTGTACTTAATATTGTTACACAGTGTACAGTTGTCTCCTGTTGGGCAAGTCACGGCAGCTCGGAGACACTGTACGGAAGTCATATCAGCAAATAGTGTGTAGGTCTTCCTTTGTTCACGTTTGTATTCTATTCCCTGTAAAGAGTAAACTTAGAACCACAGACATCAGATCATATATATTCCACATTTTACCGTATGCGTGAATGATATTTCTATTTCTATTACAAGTAGGAGAGCAGCAAGCAGAGGCAGGCGAGGGGCCCCCCACCCTGCTCAGGGGGGCCGCGGCTCGCCCGCCAGTAACGCATCCGCTCAACTCAAAGACGCACCAATTTGTACACACTTGGAATTACGTCGTTTTGAATTCCTAAGCCGCCGTGCGACACAGTTTAACTTGTCCTACTTTTAGAGGATGGTGTAGCCAATAAGTATAGACTAAATACCAGTAAACCATTACAGTAATGGCCAGGGTAGACTAGCGCGTCGTAGACTCTCTCGCCCTCAGCACTGGCAGGAAGCAGACGGTTTCAGCCTCCCGCTGTTGCTGCCTCCGACAGTTGACAGGTTTCACTGGTCACATCCTCGTCAGTAGTGCTTGTGGTCACGGGTTGTCGTCTGCTGGATATTTCTCCTCGACCATACGGATAATTTTACCGAAGGTGGGTCAGTGAGGTCACCTGTGTCCTGGAGGTTTATTAGCCCAGGTCGTGGACACTTACAGGTGATGCTGCTCTCATCCCTGACGCTGGCTGGGTCCCGCACACCTTCCGGGTCATATCATCAAGTAGTCCGAACAATGGTATTTAAAAGTGTCTCCAGTAATATTAATTTATATAACAAGTCTGTTTGTATCACATAACACAGACATTAAACCACTGGCTGTACACACTGGGCAGTTTATGACCGTACCAACACACTTCCTCTGACTCACCAAACAGAGAGGGAGTGTGTAGTCATGCGTGACCCAGCCAGTGAACCACCACCACCCGAGATCCACATGCTCGAGGATTCATATTCAAGACTCGCCCATCGTAGTGGACTTCGGTGTCACGATGTATAATGTCATGTTTTTATTTGTATCACGTGTAGATATTATTATTATCATTATTACTGCATCTAAGGGGGGTATTGTCAGCCACACTTTAGGCGAGAGATCAATATCAATCACATTCTTTCAAATTTTCACACTTTAAAGAAAAAATAAAAAAATCTTTTTTTTTCCTTTTACGGGGTTGGGTGATGTCCGATGTGTGTGTTGTTACTTAGACTACTGCTACACCGTAATGTTATATGAGCCAATCTTTGTATTATTATCATCGCTGCCTTTAGTCACCTGTTACACACTGACTGACCGGTGAGGGAAGTTTTAACATTGTCACCACCGGTTATAATATATATATATATATATCATTTAAATGTGCAATATATCATTATGTTGCTTCTCTTATCACCCTCTTTATTGCCACTAGTCCCGCGGTGTGAAGATTTAACACCACTGAATAATAAGACTGTAATACAGCAGCTCGCTCTTAATGTATTAATTCCGGTTTGTATTTTTTTTTAATATACGAGCAATAAAAACCGATGCATTTGCTAAACACATCATTACTTGTTTTTTATAAAAAAACCAAAAGTCGAAGGTGAATTTTACTTTATATTACGTTTTATGGTTGTGAAATAAATCTCTAATGAAAACTAACATTAACAAAACTCTTTATTTCAACGAGTGAGCGAGAGAAAGCGAATAAATTTAATAACTCAAACATATTTCAAATAAGACAATAACTTTTTTGTCAAATTATTTTTACCTTCTTCACAAACCATTTCATTACGTAACAACAACAACAGCCAATTATAAATACTTTTAATCTTCATACAAAAGGGACATAAAAAAATCAACTATGTCTAATAATTCCGCGACAAACTTTCATTAATAAAAAAAAATAGATCAATAAAATAAGCAGTCATTTTTTTCAGTGTCTGAACATGGCGCTGTATTCGTCAGGCTGAGAAGAAAATACCCAGTAAGTGTAGCCATGTTAATGTAAATATTTATTGTACATTTTGTAAATTCACTTTTCCCCGTTATTATAACACCTTCATCATATTAATAAATTGGTGTTGACGGCCTTAACGACTTTCTATTATCCTCATATATACCTGTATAATGCCTACCTGTGTATAATGAGTACGTGTGTGTATAATGCCTACCTGTGTATAATGAGTACCTGTGTATAAAATGACTACCTGTGTATAATGCCTACCTGTGTATAATGAGTACCTGTGTATAATGCCTACCTGTGTATAAAATGATTACCTGTGTACAATGAGTACCTGTGTATAATGAGTACCTGTGTATAATGACTACCTGTGTATAATGAATACATGTATGATGCCTGTGAATAATGGCTACCTGAATGATACCTGTGTGTATAATGATTATATCTAAGTATAATGACTACCTGTGTATACATTGACCACTTGTGTATGCCTACCTGTGTATACAATGACTACCTGTATGTTTGACCACCCGTGTGTATAATGACTGCGTATAATACCTACCCACAGTACAATACTCAGAAATTATAGAGTTGGGTAAATACATAAATTACAGGTTATTTCTATGATTAGATAAAATGATGTTTTTGTAGTGGTGGTAGTAATTATAGTAGTGGTGATTATTATTGGTAAATGGTAGATGTAACTGTTAATAGTAGATGGTGTAGTAGTTAGTATAGTAGTAGTAGTGGTGGTGGTGGTAGTAGTAGTGATGTTGGTAGTATTAATAGTAGTGGTAGCAGTTTCCATCAGTGGTTGTAGTAGTGGTGGTGGTAGGTAACAGTATCATTAATAGTATTCACTATAAGTTAGTGGTAATAGTAAACAATAATGGTAGTACTAATAAGAAAGTCTCTCACATCAACATTATCTTCAAATTTACACAAATGGTCAATGTTACTTAACCAGTGAACATAATCCTGGTTATTTCCACAACGAGGTTAAAGATCTACAGAGCCATGGATTACACCTGTTATTATTACTGAAAACTAATTAATTAAGAAGCCATCACTCATACCTGGCTTACGTATAGCTTGACTCTCCTTGGCTCGTTACATACCTTGAGAGAGCGTGTGTGAGTGAGTGAGTGAGAGAGAGAGAGAGTGAGAGTGTGTGTGTGTGTGTGTGTGTGTGTGTGTGTGTGTGTCCATCATACATGAGAGGAACAGAAAACACAAAATTACTCAGAAGATTTTATTATACAAGGACCGACTTTATTAACTCTAGTCGAACTGCGGTACAGCTGTTTGTGACGTCATAAGCAAAACAAAAGACCATTACTGAAGGTAGTTGTAACACGGTGGTTGTTACCTTGAAGAACTACTTGGATATAAAGGCGGTGATCAGCAGCGAGCGTCACTCAATAACACTCGCTCTTGGACAATCATCATCATTCACAAACATGATGTTATTCTTCAAAATCAAATAATTTTCTTCAAGCTCTAATTAATAAAAAAAACTTCACCTAAGAGCACATCCTGGTCAGCGACACACACACTCACCACCAAATCTCGGTAATAAATCACTGGCCAACCTAATTATGGCCCAACACACACACAATTGATGGAGGAACTAAACCAATAAGTAATTATAATAGTGAACAGAAAACTGCGGTGACCTGATGACGGCCAGGGCACCGGGGTCTTCAGTGCCACCAACACCTATGCTGGGCGTGGCACTCCTACCTCGCGGTCACCGCACAAGGAATAAACTACATTATTAAGG